AATTGAATCATTAGGGTGGTTACCCCCATGCTGCTGTTCTCATGATACAGAGTGAGTTCTTACAAGATCTGATGGTTTTATAAGGGGCTTTTCCCTGTTTTGCCTGTACTTCTCCTTCATGCCATCATATGAGGTAGGACATGTTTGTTTCCCGTTTTGCTGTGATTGTAAGTTTCCTGAGGCCTTCCCAGCCATGTGGCACTGAGAGTCAATTAAACTTCATTCCTTTATAAGTTACCCAGTCTCAGGCTGTGCTTTATAGCAACGTGAGAATGGACTATATATTGGGTTTTTAATTTGGCTTGTTGTGTATTCTATTGATGTCCTCTGCTTCTTCTAAGTTAGCCTGAACAGAGAAAGGCACCTCGTGTCATCTTTCAGGTGGCCCTTACACAGGGTAGAACATACATGCACAACAATTTGTAAACATGGTCCCCTCTTCCCTTCGAGAACCAAGTACCAGACTCCCACCCTGGGAAAGTAGCTACCCGCTTCCAGACTGCTACAGTGCCAGGGAGGGGGTGGGGCAATGGCAAGTGTAAAAAGCACAGAATTTTTAAGTTGCCTTTTTTCTTGATTCAGTGTTCATTTTGCTTTGGAAAATGTTTGACTGTTGATTACAGCTTTTACAAAGTCCTAAAAGTTACTTTTTGTTTTTCAGTGTTTCTGTAGGAGGACATGTACTACTTGGAGTTTCAAACTCTGCCATCTTGCTGATGTTATGCTGCTTTCTGTCTTTTGTTTTAAAGAATTCTATTAAAGGTTTAATAGGAACCTTTGATAACAAAACATCCTTTTCTCAAAATGGTCCACTTGAAAATGTATTTTATTTAAGACTTCTTATGAATTTTTATTTTACATCTGAGTTTTCATTATCTACAATACTTATTTTAAGACATTCTTTAGAGAACTAAATATGGCTATTAAATCATTAGAATGTAAATACATTAACAATAATAAAGAAAATTGAAAATTATAAAATTCATGAATTTTTTTCTGTATTGATTTCAGCACTGGCTCATAGATCTAATGAGTGGTCCTGGATTTTTAGCATAAATAGTTAGCTTGGGGTGGCTAATGGTTTGCCTGATTTCACAGATGATGTGGCTACTTTATGGATAATGCTGAGTCATTATGCTTTGCTTTCACTGTGTGCCAATACATGAATATACTTTATTCATAGATTTTAAAAAATCATTTATTTTTTTAAAGGATTTTAAATTTAACTAAAACATTTCATTGCTATATACTAATTCCTTTAAAAGACACAAAGGCTTTCAGGTCTTTACAGTAAACTCATAGCTTTGTTTTCATTTTGAGCCACGTCTTTTTTCCCATTTTACTATTAAATACCCCACACTGTGTATGTTGACAGTTCTCTAATGATTCAAAGATAAAACCTTTTCTTTATTATGTAATACTTTTCAGAATTCATACCTAGTGTGATGTGATATTCTAATATTTGATGTTTTCACATGTAAACTGAAGACACATTTGAGTAGGCGTGATTATTTATAGTGTTATTCTGGCTGTTTGTAACTTAACCTAGTTTAAAAATCTCTGGTTCTCTCTTCATGAACTAGATGTTTGTGTATTAAAAAATACTACAGAAATCTATTGTAAACCTCCCTTTAGAAAGATTTCAACAGTGCACAGATGGAACCAAAAATGCCCTTTGCCTAAACATGACCTCAGTTAAAGCCATAAGGGAGTCTGAAATTCCATTCATTCTGTTTTGAAATTTAAGTCACAGTTATACTTCCTGGCTTAATAAGTTAGATACACATGTTAGAAATATTAGGCAATATTATGCACTTTCTTATAATTTAAACCAATGTAACTGTCAGCATATTTTTGCAAATCAGCAATTTATTTTAATTGTGAATATTATGAACCCATTAGGAAAGTTGCATACCAATTAATGAGAAATGAATGTTATATAAATTTCAAATTTATGGTCACAATTGATGAATTGTTCTTATAGATATATGTTGTACAATGTTTTAAATATATAGTAACACATGTTATTTATTGTATATAATTCGTGCATGTATTCAAAATATACTCTTTTACTGATTACTTTACATTAGATATTGAAATATCTTTAAAGTTACAACTGTATTCTAAAAGTTGCTTATTAGTTAAATTACTTTTCAGGTAAGTAAAAGGAAGTCTATTATCTTAAAGCACATTTTAGATATTTGTGCTATTTGACCATTTAATAGTCTTTGTGTAAGATTACATTAATACTGTATTTGTGTGTGTGTGTGTGTGTGTGTATGATGCATCTTTGTTACAGTTATGGCTACCTGACAACTTAGTTCAGCAATCAGAATAGCAAGTAAAAACATCATAGTAAACTCTCTTGCACCCTCTGTTGTTATTTTTTGGAAATGCTACATATACGTTCCCATGATTGTATTGTCATTTCATTTACTTTAATCTCTTATAAAATTAATACTTATTTTATTATACTTACTTCCAAATTAGATTCAGTAGTAAAGTAACACTTGTTTATTTCCCAAACTGGCAGAAGTTGTTTTCTGGTGTTACAGATATGTTTTTTATCATATTATAGCTTAAATGAAAAATGAGCCTTTCTGTTTGTCTTTGATTTCTCCTAGTTACCGGTAGTAAGCCTCTCCAAATGTTTCACACCAAGTAAAATCTCTACAGGATGTAGCACATTGTATACACAGTTTTACAGAATTACAGATTCTGTCTGTTCTTTTGTAAACCTTTCGATAGTCAGACAGTTTCCTTCCAAAATAAGAGTCTGAGATCGTCCATACTAAAATTAAGAATTTATAACTGTAAGGAACAGATGTTTTCATAAACATTTGCTATAATTAATTTCAACTAGAGGATTGAGGGAACAAAGCGTTTTTCCTGTTTCAAAACTTTATTGCCTTTTCCCCATATAGCCAACTCTGAAATCTTTTCTCTAATATTGTTAGTGAAACAATTGTACTCCTTATTTGGTATGTTTTTGAGAAAGAAAAACTGCTTTTTTTCCCCCCCATTACCATTTTTTTGCACCTTGAAAGTTATATTTAATGTGATATATTCTTTCGGAAACAGTTATAAATTAAAGAAAACCTTTATAATGTGATAAAACCTGGTTGTTTATGAAGCCAAAAGTCTCTTAATTATTTGAAGGATTTTATATTTGATCTGATAAACATCAGCTTAAAGGAAGAACTATTCTATTGGTGTTATTTTTCATGTTTAATCATCTTAATTTTAAGGAGAAAAAAGCTCATATTTTAAATGTATAATATAGTACTTATTCTATGCTGATTATGGAATGTTTCACAGGAAATGTCTGCAAGCTGTTAAATAACATGTGTTGTAGAAATTTTCATTTAGCAAGATAGAGACTAATTTTCCTTACATCTTTTTAGTTTATTATATTATTAATTTTTAAAAGAAAAGGAAGGGTGTTGTATGAGTAATATTACCATACCTATGTTTTCAAAGAATTAGCAACATATACCTAGCTAGGTTAATTTTAAACATTTATATGTTTTTGGATTATTTTCTTCTATAAATTGTCACCATTTTTAAGTGTTGTAATCCTTTTTAGGATTTTTTGTTTTTTCAAAAAACAAAATAAACTGGAACAGTATTTTGAAAAAAGAGTAGAGTTGAAAGTTTAATAAGCGGGCTCAGTCCGCTTTTCCTGAACGCTGGCACAGCTGCACATATCTCACCAAACTCTCAAAAAAGAACCAGTGTTCTTTACTATCTGTCAACTATAAAATGTGTAAAGAAAGGTAGGTAGCTATCATTAAAATTACATTTCAGCATTCAGTAACCATTTAATGAGTAGCATAATTATATAAGTATAGTACCTTAGATACTGTACTCAATAATTAAAAATAATCTCATCTTTAAAGTGAAAACTCTGTAATTACTGTTTGACTTATCCATGACCACTGTGATGATTTCCTGTTGCACCTTCAGTTGTTCAAAGTATATTAAAAGTATAAAATTGGATAAATCATTGTTATATTATGCTGTAAATATTATAAAAATGGAATATGACCTGATGTTTAAAAGTTACATTATATGAATTAGGAGTATAAAATATAATCATATTCTAAACTTTTAATTTGTTTTGAAAAACAAATAACATTTTTAAAGTGGCATACTATGGTTTCATAAAAGCTGTACTTTGAAGTGTATATTTTAAAAAATCGAACCATTAAATTTCAGTCAATAAGAATATATAACATTGGGGCATTGGTAAGCATTTTTTCCAACTTTAGTTCATTTACTTTTATTCTATAGTCTTTAAATTGATATGTATAATTTGTTCTAAATTTGATTTTATGAATATGACAGATTTTTGGGTAAAAATTTTTTCTCTCAATGTTTGATATTATTATAGGAGACAAATACCTTTTGATGTTGTTCCTTTTTCATGTTTTAAATTGCCAAACTTTTGACAGTTGAAACCTAAAGTTAACAGTTAAAGTTTTATAAAGAATATTAAGTAAGGCATATTAAAAGCTCATTAATTAATCACTACCTCTCAAGTTGGCTTTTTATTTTACCTCTGTTTACTAAATTCCTAGAGAGTGTCAAACAAGGACCTGGAAAATCATCCAGGTCGGCTCTCTGCCTCCTCTCTTTTGACAGTACCACTGATCAGGATGGGTGACTTGGTCACCAACAGAAAATTGCCTTTCTTTATACTGGTTTATAATTTTAGTTTTGTCTGTGATTCGTAAGAAGAAAATGTACTGTGCTTCATTTGTTCCTGATAGCCCTTACTTTGGTACTGTTACTGTCTAGTCTAGGATTGGCATTGGTTTATATTTTGAAATCAAAATGAATTTTTTACCTAAAAAGCTTTGAGTACAAAAGATAATTTGGGGAAGGGGGAGAGGATATATGCTTTTTGGCTAATATGTTGCATTTAGCTTTCACACAGTTTTTCAACTGAAATACTCAGTTTATCTCCATTATTTCAGTGTTGTAATTTTTTTCTCCAGGAGATTCAAATAAAAATGGAAGAAGAACAAGTTCTACTTTAGACTCTGAAGGGACTTTTAATTCCTATAGGTAGGTGATGAATACATGTATATATATACACATACACATATAATATTACAAGATAATGTATAAGATATATAATTATATAGGGTTTTGATCTAGAATAGTAAGGAAACACTATTTGTGCTTTAACAAGGTGACCAATGTGAACAATATTGTGTTAATGTTATTTTCTGCAATTGATAAGTTACAGAAAAATATAATATTCTAAATTTTTGAGTAAATGCACTTACTGCAGTATCTGTTGTTAGCCAATAGTAGGGTAATTGGAACGTATGCACATGTAGTATTCAGCTTCATTATAATCCATTTTTGTTTTTCCAGTATATCTGTTACGTTACTAAAGCTTCCTTTTAATTTTCCTGCTAAAATATAGTACCGCTCATGAGTGCCTAAGAGAGCTTAAAATGTAGTTCATGGTTGAATTAAGTGCTGTTTGCTAATATTCTGTTTAAGTTCTTCAGTAAACAGGGCTATACTTCTGAATTAGTAATTTTTTTAAAAGGATACACTAAGAAAATATGTATTTTACCTAATCCTTTCTTAATATTCTCCTCATAAGTTGAATTTTGCTTCAGTAAATGTTGATGAAATTTGTACCTTATATCTGGAAACTGAAGAAGAAGAAAGATTAAAGTATTTTCAGTAATACTTGAAAATTTATATACAGAGCCAAAGTGGTGTAAGAAATTGGTTATTTTCTTTTAGGAAAAAAGTGCAAATTCAATAATGATACATTTTAACATTATAGATGGCAATGCAGATTCTTGAAGAAACAATTTAATTGGCCAACATTGTCCTTATGGTTAATTACTTCTGATACTTGTGTAACAACACTATAAAATATATGCAAGAACCACTGTATACTTGAAAATGAATTTGAATATTAAACTGTGTCTCCTTTTCTATAATAATATGGAACTTATGCTTAGTTTATATTTTTATTTGTATACATATTATGTAGTCTTAATTGGAACTGTGTCATTTATTTCTTCAGATTTCAGGCAGGCTTTTAACATCTAGAGTCGGACCTTTTATATAGGAGGAACTAGACAAAAATGTAGTAAATGAAACAAGTTTTTACAATTTGTTTATGAATTTCAGAAATGAGATGGTAATTGAAACACTTGATATCTTTATTTTATACCAGTTGGGGTCTGTATAAATGATCAGTTGTTTAAGTGTCACAGATACCACAAAAGGCTTATGTTCCATGGTGTTCTAGAAGGGTATTATCACAGCAGTAAAACTCATATGTTGTTGTTAAATTTTCACTATATCCATCCTACCTTATAAATATTGGAATTGTCCAAATGCTTTCTGAGTCCTGAAGCATAATATAAAGCTTGTATTTGACATACTAAACAATAGGTAGAATCCCCTATTTGAGTGTGTCACAGCTGATTGTAACAATAACCAAAAAAGTAAATGTGAAAGATAGTTAAATAAATATTAGGATTTGACATGTAACAGAGGAATCTTAAGATGGTAATATATGAAATCTATGATGGTAATTTATTAGGTATAAATACAATTAAACATAAACGAGACAAAAAGAAAAACTAATGTATTTCAAAAGAAGGAAAATCCCATTATATGTGTATAAATTCTGTTGTTGAATTATATTTTACAATTACATTTGTATTTTAGCCAATTATAGTAAATAGTGGATATAATATAAAGTTAAGAGAAATGTTTTCATTTCATTCATTTCATAAGAGAAATGAAAACCTTTCTCTTAACTTTATATTAAGTGAAGGTATAATATTATCTTGGGTTTTTTTTGTTCTTGAATAAAGTATCTTAGTATTATTAAATGATGATTGTATTTTGAAAAGTAACTCCTAGTGTAGCTTTGCACAATAAATACTAATGTTGTTAACTAAATATTTTTAATCAATGTCTGTCATTGTTTAAAAATGACAGGCATTGATTAAAAAGCTATGTTTTAATGTTAGAATATTAATTTATTGTTGTAATTAAAAAGGGAAGATAAAAAGCTCAAGTAATACAGTCTGTAAAAATGTGCTTTTAATAGTTGGCAGGCCAGTGCCGCTGTTAAATACTGTTGTAGTATTTAAGGTATGAAATGAATATTTTTCCTCTCAGTAGGCGATAGCTCTTATAATGAGCTTACTTGTGGATTTGACACTTGGGTTAAGTGTAGAATTCATAGAAGCACAGCTCTGTGGTATAGCTTCAATTAAGGTTAACTGACAAAATCTAGGAATTGTTGCAGAATCACATTAAAATGGCAATAGAATTTTCAGTAAAATTTACTTTTGAAAACAAAAATTATTTTTTGTTGCCATTATAGCTCTTTAAGCTAACTAGAAATAGGTTATTAGAAAAACATAAATGTTGCAACCCTCAGATGTCCTTTTGCATGACAGTTCTACCTTTGTATTATTTAAACCGCCTCTGAAATCCTAGCCTTTCTTCACAATTAGACAACGCAGGCCTTAAACCTATCACCAACATACTCATAGTTTATATATACTTGTGTCAAAGATTTACTTTAGTTTCTTATCTATCAAATGAGCATTATAATGCCTAACCTGTTTCCTTCCCACAACTGTTTTAAAAACTCAGGTTAAAACGTATAAAATAAAGGCCTTTTGAAAATCTAAATGAGAAGTCATAGTATTAATTCTTTTGTGCTCACTTCATGTAAGTGGGTAACTTTGTTTCTTGTATTCACCATCAGACACATGTATCCTTTAACATATGTTGAGATTTTAATAACTTTTGAATTCAGTCTTGAATTGGACACTGAAATTTATATTCTTTCCACTGTTTGTATTATTATTATATTAGATTATGAGTTTCAAGAGGGCATAGTCTCTGGGGGTTTTCTTTGTTTTTTTTTGAGACAGGGTCTCACTCTGTCACCCAGGCTGGAGTACAGTGGCACTACCTTGGCTCACTACAGCCTCAACCACCTGGCCTCAAGCAGTCCTCTCACCTCTCAGCCTCCTGAGTAGCTGGGACTACAGGCGTGTGCCACCACACCTGGGTAATTTTTGTGTTTTTTGTAGAGGTGGGGTTTCATCATGTTGCCCAGGGTGGTCTCAAACTCCTGGGCTCAAGAAATCTGCCTGCCTTGGTCTCCCAAAGTGTTGGGATTACAGGTGTGAGCCACTGCACCTGGTCTGTTTTTTAAAACAATGTTTAAACATAGTGTGCAGGTTCAGATCCTGATTGTAAATACTCTGAATACTTTGGACAAGTCTTACCCTCAGTTTCTTCACCTTTGAAGTGGAGATGATAAAATACAGTTGATATGAGGAGTTTAATCAGATAATGGCATATGGTAAATGTTGAATAAATATTAGTTACTTTTTTATTCCAGACAATGTCATCATCATTGTCATCACTAACCTTTTGGTATTATAGAAATTGTTACAGTGATCTAATATACCAAAAGGAAGAGAAAAAATATGTTTTACAAGAAAATAAATTTTTTGTTGTTAGCAGAAAGAGTGCTTAAGAACAAGCCTAACCTGAGATTTGACACTCTCAATCTCTGACACATATTTCAGGTTACCTTTGAATAACAAATTTGAACACCTAGTAAAGATGAAAGGAGGATATTTTACTATAAATTCAGAGATGATACCTGGAACTTTGACAAATAAATTTTAAAATTTAAAATGAATGGACCGTAACTACAGCTTTATGTGCCTAATACTCATAGACTTTTTTTTTTTTAATATACTGGGATGTTTACTTTGGATTTATATCGTCTTTTGATCTTGCTTCATGGATTCAGATAGAGTACAGCTGCATTTAACTCCTAAGGCACCAGTACGATTATTATATGATGCTTGAGTAATAGTCCAGATATTGTTTTGGAAATTTTGGTTAAAATTTGATTGTGTATCTCTGAACTAATTTGCAGATGATGCGTTAAAATGGAAAGTTTATAAGACTTGAGAAGACATTGTTGGTTTTGTGAAATATATCTTGTACTTTTTAAAGACCAATGTTAATATTGTCTGCCAAATTATATGAGCTTTCTCTGTTCCTTATTTAACCATTAAAACTGAGAGAAGAACATTAATGGGTATGAAAGAAGAACAGTCGTTTCCTGATTATCAGTTTGCTGATGTTTAACTTAGTGACTGTAGCACAGGCCACTCCTCTTCTCCTCTTCCCAAGGGCAGCTGACCTTCTCCTCGCCAAAAGAGGCAAGCCCCTTGCCAGCACATATGACTACAGACTATTACATTAATCTGTTTAGCTGTAGTACCAGCTGCTTGCATGTTTTTAATTATCTTATTAGATGGTATAACAGTGACCTATGAAATAAATTGAAGGTGAACATTTAAAAACTTTTGTTTTATTACCCTGTTTCTAAATATCTTTTTGATCAAATTATAACTTTCCTCAAAAGTTGATAGGAAATCTTTGTCATTTTTGAGTCAATGTTAGGCTTTTTTTTTTTTCAGATTTTTAAAGTATAATGTCTTAATTCCCAATATAGAAAATAACTTATTTGTTGCCTCTTTTATTGATAAGCTTTTTGTGTTTCTATAGCCAAAAATCTGCTGTAAACTTGGCTTAATAGTCAATTTATTTAGAGAAAACTCAGACCAGTTATTTGGCATTCTCAGGGAAACTCAAAATATTGCTTAATTTTTGTACCTCATCTTAGTTTTGTGTAAATGGCAGAGGACAGAATATAAATCATTGTAGATAAATTTAAATTTGTACATTATAGTTAACCCTAATTTTCAAGATTCTGTATAGACTGTAGTAAATCATCTAGTTTACTTAATATTTTTTTCAACTTAATTTCACATGACATTATATTTTCCAAAGCTGTACTCTTAAGAAAAATGTACACTCTTTTTCATCTTGACAATTAGTTACTTTAAAAATAATCATTTGTAAATGCAATGCTGACTTCCAGAGACAGTGCAAAATTATAAACACCGATGATGCTCAGTTAGAAGTTGTAGCCAATAAACTGAAGATTATAATAATTTAGTTAGGAGCTTTGGGGT